AGGGTTTAGGGCTGAGGGTTTTTGGTTTCGGGGGTGATAAGGCCTGTGCAGAGTGGGGTTTGGGGATGTAGGGCTCAGAGTCAGGTTTTTGGATTTGGATTTGTTCAACTGCTCTTCTCAAATGCTGCGACAGCACCCCACAGTCCGTTTGGCTCGGCACTCCACGGCATTCGGGTTAGGCAGTCCAAAAGTGCCATTCAACACTTCTCGGCTGAAACTCCCGAAAGCCAGTGCCGGAATCGCGAGCTTGCGACTTGCCCAGAATCCCAAAGCCCTCAGCGCCCAGACCCTGAACCCTTGTGCACCTGGATCTCGTCTTCTAGCTGGGTTTGCCTTCGCACCGCAGCCGCCTCCTGGACAACACGACCCGAGAGACAAATTGGCTACGAGTTGGTGGTTTGGGATTCGAACCTACGATTCAGGGGAGAACCCGACGGAAACTTGAACCGGAACGGCTTGGTCCCATGTGTTCTTCTGTACACAGGTGACACAAGCAGCTTGAGATGAGGTGAGCGGCTGCATTCGCAGGTGTATTGGCCGATGGCTTGGCTATGATCAGCTCTTTGGCTGGGTTTTGGGGGGGTTCCTTATTATAACTATAGTATACAATACCCCAAATCCTATTCTAATTATCTGGCCCTTCTGCTCCTTTTCGTTTCGGTCTGCAGGCTGGGGTTGGACACCATTGGGGACGGACTACGCACAAGGCCACCTCCAATCAGGCATTTACTCAACAACAAGCCACAACAAACCACGGACGTCTGAGAACGCGCTGGAAATCGGAGGTCTGCTAGCATCCAGGACAACAGTGAGGTCAAGGGGAGCACCGAAGGCAGGGCGGCGGCCAGGAAGAGTCGTGTGCTTTTGTTTGAGTAGCTGTTGGCATTCGGCAGGATCGATCATACAATATAATATACTATAATAGACTATATAAGAATATACTATACTATAAAATAATATACTATACTATACTATACTATACTATACTATAATATAATATAATATAATATAATATAATATAATATAATATACTACCAGGCCATAGGCAAACAGCGGTGGGGCTCCGCGAGGCTCATGGCACCTGTGTTCTTCGACGAGCCAATGAGAACGGCTGCTCCACATGCTCTCGCTGAAAATACCCAACATGAACCCGCATCGGGACCGCGGCATCTGCGACGATAACGAAGATCGGATTGCAGAGAGAAAGATGGAAGAGACCGACAGAGATAGTGCAAACTACCAGTAGTAGCTTCTACATTATGTGTAATATATATATATATATATACATGTACACGTCGATGTATATACAGATATATATATTTATATGTATATATATATATGTATAAATAGATGTACATATATATATGTGTGTCTGAATGTATGTATGTATGTATGCATGTATGTATGCATGCATGTACCTACCTTCCTACCTACCTACCTACCTACCTACCTACCTCCCTGCCTGCCTGCCTACCTACCTACCTGCATACATACATACATACATACATACATACATACATACATACATACATACGTGTATACGCACACGCATACGCATACGCATATGCATACGCATATGCATGCGTATGCGCATACACATACACATACCTGTACACAAATACACAGATACACAGACACACTCATACACATACACATACACATGCACATACACAGATGCACATGCACACACAGACATGTACACATACACCCACACATACATATATATATATATATATATATATATGCTCACGCCCCCCCCCCTCATGATCCAGCCGAACCTGCTTTTTGTAAGCAGTCGATCATGGGACGTGGGCAGCCTCGAATGCGAAAACATCGGCAGGGATCAAATTTCCCCAAAATTCCTGAGGCCTGAGATGCGAAAACATTGGCAGGGATCAAATTTCCCCAAAATTCCCAAAATCTGAGCAACTATAGCCCAGCATTCCCCATAGATGCCAGGATTTTAGGAATTTTGGGGCAGTTCGATCCCTGCCAATGTTTTCGCATTTCAGGCTTCAG